GTTTGAGGTCAGCAACACACCCGTCAGATTGGGGCAAGGGGGAGGAAGAGCGCACGAACGTAGAGGTGGTGGCTACACCGCCAGCAAAGAAGAAGAGCAGAGAGAAGGAAGAGCACGTAGTAGCCTCCTGGTGAAGGCGGGCGCGTCCTTCCGCTCGCAAGAGTATTCTCTCTGGCGTCTACTAGAAGCAAGAGCGGTTGACTCGGATGTGCCTCCCGGTCCCAAACCCCCCGTGTCTCTCCCGAACGCTTGAAACGCGACATAGCTCTTCGTTCAGAGGCTGTCGTCGGCCAGTGTACAGTAATCGCTTCCTGTCTCCGTACTGGTGTGGTGCGATTTCGTGTGCTGGGGTTGAGTGAACGACGCAGACACGGACACGCGCACGCATGCACGCACACTCAACGGCAGCAGCAGCAGCAGCAGCAGCAGCAGCAGCAGCAGCAGCAGTGACAGCCCCTTGTCATCAAGCAAGGTGCACAGCTAGCAGTCGCGCAGCGCACCACGAAAAAACAACAGCACCTGCGGACAGGGGAAGCTCGTGGCAGGACTGTAGCCCCACAGCCCACCACACGAAGCCGCTTAAATCTGAAACTTTTCCAGGGAACTTGTTTACCTTAAAATCTGCTTCCTTGAACCGGAAAATTTGGAGCCCCAGTCCGAAACTGTATAGTCTACTATTGAAAAAAATTGTTTTGATAGCGTTGTTTTTCCGCTTTGTTTTTAGCTTGATAGCAATTTCTCTGAGCTCACGAAAGCTATGTACGCGCACGAGATCGCGGCGGTGCCTTCGCGCGACCTAGACCTCGACTCCTATCGCAGGAACTTGCAAACGAAGCGACGACGGTGCCAAACGCGGGCCATAGTTTCTTGCTTCTGCCCACATGAGCGTTATTCTAACGCCTTTTAAGGGTCCCTGCTTCTTTGTTGCTCTTCTTTGCCGCAGCCGAATTCTCTGAGCAGCCCAAAGAAACTACGATGACGAGTTTCGCGGCCCTTCCTCCGCACATACTAGCCCCCGACCACGCACCGAGCGTTTCACCTCGCATCACAGGCAGCAGCAGCCAGCACCAGCCAATGAGAACAAAAATGGCGCCCTCGCACCCGCCGCTAGAATGGAGTTCGGAAAAACGCATTCCTTTCCTACGACGGGCAAGATACAGTGCCATGCCAGCCGGCGCGGCTCAACGCGCTAGGACAGTAGCATACCCGTATGTGACACAAGATAACACACCCCCTTGACCGATTTCCAAGCTCGATTTCTCAACAGCAGGAAGAGTCACAGCACCGTCTGTGACACAAGATAACACACCCCATTGACCGATTTTCCAAGCTCGATTTCTCAACAGCAGGAAGAGTCACAGCGCCGAAAGCGGCGGCGTTTGAACCGTCTCGTCGAGAGCTCTTCGACAATGTATCATTTCGTTTATGTATCCTCTTCGTCGTGGAGTAATCGAGCTTTGAAAATCGGTCCAGGGGGTGTGTTATCATGTGTCATATACTGTAGACGTGCTCCGCAAGTTTCTGGGAGGATGATGGCCAGGCCAACGACCAAGGCTAAGAACATCGATCTCTCTACCCTTTGGGCGAGGAAACCATATTGTTGCCGCATTGGTAGCTCAGCTACGCCCACCAAACTGTGAGGGCCAACGACAACGCAGCCGACAATACTAGAAGGTACTGAGTAGAGACCGGAACGATTTTTTATGTGAAGACGACAACAACAAGAACAACAAAAACAAAACATCTCCACCACCAAATCCGGTTTCCGGCGACTTGTTTTTCTTTTCGTCTATCCGGTGCGCGACACGTCCAGCTATGCCCACACCGAGGCCACTGTCGTCGCAATGTATGGTGCGTGGGGGGCTGGCGAAGGAGGCGAGGTACGGCAGCAAGTTCAGTCTAGAACCAAACAACGGAGTGAGACGGACGACAAAACTGACAGTTTTGGAGTACATCGACTGCGTTAAGGCGAGCCGGGAGCACCGCATACATGGGATGTGTATTTGGTGCCGCCTTTGTTGAACGAGGGCAGCTGCTTGAAATTTGTTGCTGGTGCTGCGGTCGCATCCGCCTAAAGCAGTCCTTCGGATCTTCTTCTCTCGATGACATTGCTGTTTCCGGTTCAGCTAGCTAATGAACCAGCTGAACGGGACGCAGAAACATTACCGATCAAAAAAGTCGCCAAGGAACTTCTAGTTCCGATGCGGCCGCCGCGCCTGCAGGAACATCAACGCAGCTTCCGTATTTCAAGATACATGTGCGGCACCAAGCTCATGCGCATCTAATGCGGTGTTCTAGGCTCTCGTCCTTCCGCCACTCCATGCACTCCTAAACGTAAGACGTCGGTTTTGTCGTCCATCTCTCTCCGTTTTTTGTGTCTACCAGCATTAGACTATACTTGCTGTCGTATGTCGCAGTCCCATACGTAGCACAAACAGCGGCCTAGGTTTTTCACGTTCCGCTGTGCAGCAAGTACCCGCTCCCATGTCCCAATCCCCCCTAGCGAAAGAATATCGCAGTGGCCCCGTGCATCATTGGTCAGCCACAACACAGGAAGCACGGGGAAGTCGATTCTCGCTGCGAAACCCCTCAAACAACGCCTCCTTTTCTAGCCAGGAGGACGTGCACGAAAGAGACAGAAGCTGCCAACCAATGACAAGGGCTCATTAGTACGGAATTGAATCATCTATCGTGAATCTTATCCATGTTTGCGATAATAGTGACACCGTGGTGTCGATTGTCGAAACTTGGTTTAATGCTTTGCTTTTGGATTTTTCTTAATTTTCAGTTTTGGGGAAGCAATAGCGCCTGATGAGTACGGTTGTCTTGTCGGAAAAAACACATCCCGGTCTCTGCTCAGTACCAATTTAAGAGACAAAATCTGCCAACCAAAGGCCAAGGGTCAAGAATCGCCTGATGGTTGTTGTCGCTGCTGTCGTCACATACAAAATAAACGTTCCGGTCTCTGTCCAATACCTCCTACCCCCGTTACCAAAACGAACACAAGCCACAACGAGTGTTGCTGTCTTTCACAAAAAAGAAAGGCTCCCTTCTCTGCCCCACCTCTAATCAAAACCAAAGGCTCTTGATGAGTCTTCCTTTCGCGCCTTGGCATCCGGAACGTAGTTTTAACATCCGTTATCAAGGCAAAAACCTCTCCATGAGTGAGCCTTCCGCACAAGGGCATCCAGAGCGTCGAACATCCGTTACCAAAACAATAAACTCTCGATGAGTGCTCCTTTCATGCCGTGGCACCCACAACGTAGTTCTAACATTCGTTGCCAAAACAAAAAACTCTTTGATGAGTCTGTATCCTCCCGCACGCACCTCGGCATCCAGAACGTAGTACGTTCGCGAGCAGATCCACATGTCCTCCCGCAGCCGTACCCTCGACGGAGACACCACCCCGCCCTTGTCTTCCCCGGACAGAGACAAGGCCGTCCCCCCGCTGCCGCCGCCGGTGTCCGGCACAAGCGGCGACGGGAAGGTGGCCAGAACGGGCACCTGCGGAGGTAGTAAGGCAACGCGAGACATGGGGGGTACTTTTTCTGTTAACAAAGGGTGTGGAGGGGGGGTGCTCTGCTGCTGTGCATGCCTTAGCTGTCAGACCTTTCACTACGCATCCTCGGACGGACGGAGAGCATTATTCCCGCACAGGAACGATCGCCGACAGCATGGGGGGGGG